TAGTGATGATTTTAGGCATATCACTTAGGATTATTAGTCAAAAATCAAAACTCCCTTCATATCCACTTTTGTAAGAGGCAGGGGCGCTCGAAAAGTAGCTCGAGTGGTAACAGTTCCAACAACAACCACACGCTGACAACGTTGTCGGTGGTTCCATCTTCCGTGAATTGCTTAGAAGCAAGTTGATGGCAGTTTACTTTTCAGGATCATCATTCCTGTGACTACTAATAATCACATAAGAACACTTATAGGTCTTGGTTGGATGCTTACATCTACGCTATGGATGGAATTGAAGGAGAAATGGCCTGAAGCATTTTGGGACGATTGGATGCGTGAATCCGGGCAACGGAAAGGTCGTGCATGTATTCGTCCCGAGATATCACGTACGGGCATAAGTTTGAGAGGCAAAAAGGGCGTTAGTAAGTAAGTTTTTTGTATTTGATTATTTTGAAACTCAGTAGTTTTTAATTGTTTCAGTAATTTTAAAGACACAAAAAATGAATATTCCTGGCTAGGAGACTGGAAGAGGATGAAGGCCTTCATCCGACATCGCGTCTATGTGTTAAAATATGTTGTTTGGCTTTGTTAACCCACCGTGGAGAGGAGCACAATCGAATTTTGATAATTAATGAAAACACCGGAAATGCCATTTAGATCTCCCAAACAAGCAGGCCTGTATGTACACTGACCTGATAATCTCTCAGTGTTTCATTCCTGAGCTATAAATACAGACAGCAGAATCGGTGCGAAATGGGGTGGGAATCATCAGTAGAGTGCGCCATTTCGTCATTTTAAAAGGAACATGTTGATTACCGGGGAAAGATCAAGAAGGAAGGGAAGGAAATGAAGGTGAATTTAAAAGAAGATCATAGAAGGTTAATGTTGCACAGTAGTAGAAGAAAAAGTAAAACTAACTTTTTAACAATCCTCCGAATTTTATTCAGAAATTTGGCAAGTCAGAAATTGAAGCGAAAATAATTTTCTTTTGCTGCATGCTTTTAAACCTTCAGATGAGTTTACGTAGGCATTCTATACATTTGCGATGACATAAAAATGGCTTTGGTATGCGTGAAAGTTGCAGTTTTTTTCTCACATTTGTGGTTTTCAGCAATCTTTTTTCGTCGCTTTTTTTTAATCCCTTTTTAAGCTTTCATTGTTATCGCTAAATATTTCTTTTCAGAGGCCTCTATTACGAAAACCATTTGAAACATATCGTTTTAAACAGGAATTTTTACAACTTTTCACAAGCTGATCTATCGTATTTGAAAAAAGACATTTATGATCGTAATTTTAAAGAAACTGTGCTCAAGTAAGTCCTTCAGAAACTCTACTGTTGGAAAAATGAAAGTGATCTCAAATACAAAGTTATTTTAGATTTTCTTTCTCTTTGGGAACAAATTTGAAGATATTTCAGTTGTGGCTTTTTTACTGACAGCATTCGCTTTTGCAGAGCTGTTTCTGTTCGGATCAATGAAGTGCAAAATGGGAAATTCTCAAATGGCACTATTTTACCTGATAATGTAAAGCTGCTCTATGATACAGTGCTACATTTCAGAAGGATCGCGAGAAGATTTGAAGTTATGGACGATTTTCGAGTAAAATTTTCAAAATTTATCTGTTTTTTTCTTATTGTTTTGTTTTCTTTTGCGATTGATTTCAATCATTTTTTTTTTTCTTCCTGTTGATAAATCTCATTTCCTTGCACACCGAACTATCGGCAGTCTTATTTAGAGGCCACCATTCTAGTTGTACTTGATAGCTGTGCCAGGCCTTTCGATCCGCGAAGGAAAGTGGGGAGGAGAGGAGGAGGGGGGG